GTTTCCTCCCACAGACCAAAAACATGCATGTTAGGCTGATTGGTAACTCTAAATTGTCCCTAGGTGTGAGTGAGAGAGTGAATGGTTGTTTGTCTCGTTTGTCTCTATGTGGCCCTGTGATGGACTTGCGACCCGTCCAGGGTGTCCCCCGCCCCTCGCACAGTGATTGCTGGACATGGGCACCAGCGACCCCCGTGACCCAAAATGGAATAAACGGGTAAAGAAAATGGATGGATGGATGGATGGATGTCTGCATTGGTCCCTGCCAGGAGTCCAACAGATTCTTAAAGCCACTTAGAGAGGTCAAGGTCGAGAGCTTCAAATCAATGAGTGACATACCTGAACTTTATAATTTTAAGTATTTTCAACAGTCATGGAAAACACAGGCTGGAGATAAACTGTGGACTAAATTCGTATTTCAGTGAGAATAATGGATTAATTGCGCAAAACTCAATAATTAGCCACACTTACTACAGTTGATGGTACTTTGTGTTCTTAACTGCTCCTGTTTTTGGGTCCGTTTTTGATCTGAATAATGTAGAAAAAAAAACATATTTTGACAAAGAATACACAGTTGTGGAAATGGCAAGAAAAATATGAGCCATGTTCAAATAAAGCCAATAAACACAAATCTTTAAAACAAGCCATATGAGCTCTGTCCATAGAGCCTGTTAATTTGGACCAATCTTACGCATTAAAGCGAGCGCGAACGATCGTCCTGCAGAAGTTCCTGAAACGATGCTCACGGCCAACGATGAAAAGAGGCTTATCAAAATATGGATGGTTCTCCCTCAGCTCCTCCTCCTGAACTTTTCTGCTCAGTCACACAACCACAAAAATGGAAAGAACACCAGTTACTGCATCTCAGCCAGAACCAAGTCAAAACAAATAGGTTGGACTAAACATTATTTCACAAAAACTTGATTTGTTTGAACAGTGTGCTTCCTAGTCCAAACACCTTTTCATTTCTGCTTGCTCTTTCTTTTCTTGGATCATCTTAATTTCACTGTCCTCTCTCTGAGAGTTGCGGTAGCGTACTGTGCTGGAATGCTGTAAAAAGAGACAAAATATATGAAATATGATACATTTGTTCTTTGAGATGTTTATGTTTTATTCTTAACACGTCAAGTCACAGCAATATATATGCAGATACAGTTGTGTTTGAGAACAGCTATTCTGAGAGCATGCAAGCACGCTGTTCATAATGTTTATTAGAGTGGGACTTATTGTATTTACATCTTGCGTAAGAGTCTCCAGTGACTTTCCTCGGCTGATTCTCTGACTAGTGGAACCATGTCTAAGAGATCTGCAGAAGCATTAAACAAACATTTAAAAAAAGTTATGATTCTCATGGTACAGCAGGAGAGTACATGACCACTTGTGCTACTGTATGTGAGTATGTTGTCAGACCTGCGCTCTTGCCGTATGTGGTGCTGCACACTGAGAATGGAGCGTTCTTTGGCTGGCTGGCCTTCAAAGGATCCGCTTTGCTCACGCTGTGTAGTGCAAGCCCTGGGAAACAGACACGTGAATCATTTTTTAAATATCACTGTGAGAGAACGAACGACCCATCGGGATGTGGTCCATTATCCTGTGAATCAAGCTACCTTCAGCCCATATCATTTTGAGCCCAGATTAGTGACCCAGTCTGTCACTGTGAACCAGGTTCCAATTGTTCCATTAGCCAGAAAGTGCATGTGAGCGGTACTGTCTTTTCTGTCTAACAGCAGAATGGAGTAGCTGAACGCAGCTAATGACACTGTGGGTACCAGCGGTGTGCATACTTTAATCATTTATGGCAGCTCTGAGCAATTACATGTTTATTGATAACACGCACACACAAACAGCTGCCAAAAATGGGGTGTGTGTTCGTATGTGTCAGCGCTTGAATGCGTGCTTGTGTGGAAGACGCAGAGCAGACAGAACGTGCTATGACTACTGATCTGCTGTTTATCTGTCAGACGGACCGAGTTATGTTGGGTGGGTTATGTGAGGTGGAGGGTGGGGTGGGGATCGGACACAGTGTTTGCAATCTAATCTGCACTTAGTGCCAGCTCTGCCATGCTGAACAGCAAATTATCTATTTAGTTTTTCACGTCAATAGATCAATCTGAAGTGGCGCTGTGTGTGTGGGACAAAGCGAAGAGCAAAAAGTAAGAGAACTACTCTGGTTACAAGAGAAATATGCACAGTATGAAATGCTCACATTACAGTCACATGATACTTGTACTCGCATGAAGAAACACTCATGTTTAAGACAATATTTTATAATACTTTCAGTCTGTCAGACATAAAAGTACCTAAAAAATCTTACAGAACTACAAATTGAACAACAGTTTCAGATTAAATTACTTTTTATTCAATGATGCTGTGAAGCATGGTATCCATGGGCATCAACTTCACTGCCAAGAATTAACTATAGTTGTTTACGTTGCCTCATATTTGGATCATTTCTGCTTGCCACTTTGTCCTCAATAAAAGAAAAGGTTTCTCAGTTAGCTTTATGCCAGGTAACTGACTTGGTCAATTATAATCACTATTTTGTTTCACTAAAATGTTGTATATTGACTGGCTTAATGAGGTGTCAGGTGAACTGATACTGTATCAGTTTTTGTAGCATTGGATTGAATCAGAGTGTAAACCTTGAATTATTTAGAATATTGTCTATTAATAATTGTTATTAATTACTTATTTAACTACCAACTATCAAAATTGTTGGTTACGTATTGTAACCTTAGATTCTATGAGTATAGGCGTAGCCCTTTAAGGCTGTCGCAGGTGGGTTTTATCCCGTCATGCAAAGCATCGCAGTGAAAAATTTAGTACACGCCCACCTGTTGAGTGGGCCCCACCCGGTCCATATAAATTACGTTAAGAGCGGGTAATCAGCTCCCAAATAGCTTTTTCTTCAGCCATTTAGGAGCCAGTGAGGCCCGACGCTTAAAGGGCTATGCCTATACTCATAGAATCTGGGGTTACAGTACGTAACCAACGTTCTATTTCGTATAGGCTTCGCCTTTTAAGGCTGTCACTGGTGGGTTAAGGGCGAAGCAGATGTAGTCCTCACCTCACTGGGTCCATTCAAACACCATACGAAGCGGCAGCTTGCCCAAAAACGTCTGGTCACTCAGCTCACCATGTGCGTAATTACGCGTTGCGTAATTATGCGTACCATGCACAGACGCATGCTGTGTAGTGTTGGATTTGATATCTTTTATAACTTTTGACAAGCCTTGACATTTCTTTGATGATGTGAAATGATGCATTTTCTACAAGGTATGTGCGTGTAAAATCATACACTAATTACTCCATGTTATATATAATCTTACAAGTGCTAAGTATAATCATACACGTTCACATTTGATATAATTCTGAGGGAAACAGAGACAGGTAAGACACTTGTTAGTGCAGCAGGAAACGATCCTTCTTTGTTCATCTGAGCAGAGCAGCTGAGAGTGAGGGCCCAGCAATGTGACACACGGCGTACACATTGATTAAACATAAATAACGCTAAAACACAAACATTCATATACTTTATACTTAAAACAGATGGAGTATTTATGCTCTCACATTAATAATAGTTCAGACACACATAAAACATGTTTTAAAGCTTTACACAGACGAGAGCCAGAGTAAGTGTCCTGTGCTCCAAAACAAAGCTCGTAAATCAACCCTTATCAGTGGAAGAATGAGCAAGGCCGTCTGGAGTAACCATGGATAAGATCTGCTCCTGACTGGCTGAACAGGGTGTCACTCAGACCATCAAGAGGTTTTGACACCCAATCACAAGTCTGTCCGAACCCGAAAGGGCGGGACATGAGAAACCTATAAATCTCGCTCAGACACAAAGTTTGGTTGAACAAACATCGGCAGATTGACCAAGGCAAGGTTTGCTCTGATTTTGTTCCTCAGAACTGCATTCTGATTACATGTAATATCTGCATACTTTAACTTTGTCTCAATTAAATCTTTTATACTAAGGTGAAGTGCTCCTGAAATTCTGTGCTCGGGTCATTTGAACACCCCAAAATCCTTCAGTAGCTATGCGTTCTGAGTGCATGAGCACCCCGGAAAGCTTTCAACGGGGAAAGGAAGATGCTGAAAAAAGGTTGTGAACCAAGCAGATTCACAGCTGATCAATATGAACAGATTAATAATAACAAGTGAACTGATTATTAATCAAATGAACTGATTGATAACAATAGTCATGAACTGATTAGTGACAAAAGAACCAGAACAACAGTCACAACTTGTGACTGATAACAACATCTCACACTGTAAATACATGCAGTCAGATGAGAGTTTAAACGAGGTTCCATGAAACAACAATATTCATTCTGTTAAAACTTTAAGGACATAATGTGTCATGGAACAAGCCGTCACATCACGTAGATAAAAGCGAATAAATGAGCAAGGTGTTGACCACGCGGCTGCAGTGCAAATATCCTGCATTGTCATACCATTATGCAAAGCAGTCGAAGATGCGATCCCCCTGGTCGAGCGTGCCCTGAGGTTATCAGGAGGCTCTAAATCTGATGCTCTGTAGGCTTCAGAAATGGCCTCACACAGCCAGTGTGACAGACGCTGGGTGGATAACAGGAGACCTGGAGATGCATCTCTATAATGCACAAACAAAATGTTGAGTTTGACGCATTGCGGCCGTCCGTGCTATGTAGCACGTCAATGCTCGCACAGGACAGAGAAGATGGAAAGATGCTTCTTCTGATTTGTGGTGGGGGAGGGAAAAAATCCTCCAGCGATATTGCTCTTGATTTAAAAGAGCTTGTGATGTTTTTAGGCATGAACGCTGGGTTAGGTCTTAGATCAGCTGAGCTGCCGTCAGCCTGAATTCTGAGACATGACGGAGCGACAGAGAGGGCAGATAAATCACTCACCCTCTTATCGGATGTTAAAGCCAGCAGCAGGGCTGTTTTAAGAGACAAGAATTTAATTGGAACCTGATTCAGTGGCTCAAATGGAGCTTTGATCAGGGCTCGCAGGACCAGCGTTAAATCCCACTGTGGAACAAGTGGACGTGAAACAGGCTTGCGTCTCTGTGCACCTTTTAAAAAACGCTTCATCAGCGGATGATTAAAAGCTGTTCTGTCCCCCAAACCTTCGTGACAAGAAGAGATGGCTGCAGCGTACGTTTTAATTGTGCTGAATGCCAGATTTCTGTACATCAGCTGCTGCAGAAAGGACAGCATGCCACCCAGTTGACATGAAGTGGCCTCTACACATTTTTCTGTACACCAGCGCTGAAAAGTTGTCCACTTTGATGTGTATAGCGCTGTGGTGGATGCAGCACGTGAATCCTGGATTGTGCGCACTACATCTCGAGAGAGACCCATCCTCTCTAAGCGGATCCGCTCAGTGGCCAGACCCAAAGGTGCTGGCCTATTTCTGGGTAACTCTTGATCGCTCCTCCCGCCTGGAGGAGAGCGTCCTCCCTCCATGGCAGTTTCCACGGGCGCCCCGATAACAGGCGTCGTAAAACTGGGAACCATGATGCGTTCACATGCTCGGGAGCCACCAGGAGAGCTGTCATTCCCTCCTCCTGAACTCGGTTCAGAAATCGTAATATCAGAAGAAGTGGGGGGAACGCGTAAAGAAGCGTTTTGGGCCATGGGCTGTGAGCAAAAGCGTCCACCCCTAGCGGTGCTTCGTCCCAAGGGCTCAGTGAGAACCATAGTTGACACTGAGTGTTCTCTTGTGTTACAAACAGGTCCACAGCCGCTTTGCCAAATTTCTGCCACGTCTGAGCCATCAGCTCTGGATGGAAGGTCCAGTCCCTATGACGCGGACCGCCCCTGGACATCACATCCGCCCCTTTGTTCAGAACACCGGGGATACACACTGCTCTGATGAAGAGCAGATTTTGGTGTGCCTAACACAGCAGTTGTCCCACAATGTGTAACATTTGGGCTGAGCGCACACACCCCTGCCGGTTTATGTATGCAGCAGTAACCTTGTTGTCTGTGTGAACCAAAACATGTTGATTCCGTAGCACAGAGGCAAAGTGTTGAATCACATTCAAAACTGTGCGACATTCCAGAACGTTTTTATGAGCTGTTGTGTGAGATAGTAAATGGACTGTACTTATATAGCGCCTTTCTATCTTATGCAGATACTCAAAGCACTTTACAATACAATCAGTGTCCTCATTTACCCATTCATACAGCACTCTACTAGATCTCTACAAAGCTATAATATGTCAGGACAGCTTTCGCTGTGGACAACCTATTAATTAATTATTCTTAAGGCTAGTTCAAGCACAAAGAATATTAATTGTTTAATTAACAACAGATTCTTTCTTTTTCAAGTTAAATTTCTGCCATGTGACCAAGATAACTTGAGAGTGGAGTGTATAATTAGTGACATGAGACGTCCTTTATCTTTGACCCATCAGAATAAATGCGGTCATTTATTTAACAGAATCTAAATTTTACATCAAACATGTACATATTGATTTGCTGATCTGTTTCTGATTAATAAACTTAGCAAGTTCAAATAACAAGACAACAGAGGATTACTGATGGAGAATAATTCATCTCTGAAGGCATTTAGCTTGATTTACTGGCGAAGAGGTTTAAAGAGGAGATTTAGAAGTTTAAAGATGAGGATTTAGATGGATGAAGGAAAATGTGTTGACTAGGAATGGCACCCTTCATCCGACCCCAGCTCAGCCCCGGTACACTCTGTGCGTGATGACTCGTTACCTTGATGTGGGAGGTCTAATTCACTAGAAAAAGCTAATTGAACAAATAATTCTAAAGAGACTAACCAGAGCTTTATCACATTCATACACTGATGGAACACACATCAGAGGCTATGAGGGGTTCAGTGTCTTGCCCAGAGACACTTCGGCATGTGACTGCTGGTGGATTCGAACCCCCAACTCTTGTATTGGAGGATGACTGCTCTACCCACTCAGCCACAGCACCCTTACAGCTCGGGATAGACATTTCCCCCCCCAACCTGCCAGCGACGTGTCTGTGAAGACTGACACGTGTGACGTAGGTCTGCTGACGGGGACTCCCTCCGACAGAACCAGGGGTTTTTCCCAGTGTCTGAGGTCTGTTCTCACGGAGGGAGGTACAGTGATCATCCCTCTTTTTGCTTTACCGGATCCACGTGCAGATGAGCAAACCATCTCTAGAGGCGTCGCATGTGGAGTAAGAGAGGCGTGTGCGCCCTCATCGACACAACATCTTTTAGATGAGGGCTGCCGCGAAGGCGCGCGTGTTTGACGCTGGTGTGGTCAGAGAAGGCAGCGCGCAGCGCCGGTTGAAAGCGAGGTTTGCCACTGGACTCGGTCTGCAGAACACGTTCATTTTTGGCTGCGGGCTCACATCCACTCTGATGTGAGCCAGCGTGCACTGAAGAGAGGCGTGTGCGCCCTCATCGACGTGGCGTCTTTTAGATGAGGGCTGCCGCTGCCAATAAGGCACGCGTTTGATGCTGGTGCGGTCAGAGGAGGCAACACGCAGCGCCAGTTGAGAGTGAGGTTTGCCACTGGACTCGGTGTGCAGAACACGTTCATTTTGGTTGCGTATTCACGCGAGCCTTTTGAGTGATTCACCGAGCTGCGGTGATTAAAAAAAAAAACTGTTTTGAGGACACCAGCTCGTTTGTGTGTGAGGAGAAGCCGCTATGAGATCGTTTGTACTGACAGGCAGGCTGAAAACAGACACTTTAATCTTGAATGATGTTCGTGTTTTATTTTAAAAAACTTGTGTCGTTTCATAAATCTCTTCCCCTATGAGCCCTGCGGTTTGTTGTCCAATGGCGACACCTGTTGGCGGTCTCTGTGGAAACGCTGAACCACAGGTTGCCAGGATGAGGTGTTGTTCTCTGATGGGAGGGGCTGGTGGCGGAGCGGGAGGACGCAGCTGCAGCTGTGGTGCGGGAGGAGATGTGCAGCTTGATCAGATGTGCACAGTCTCTGACACCTCCTCCGACATTCGACTTTCCCAGCATGGCCTTGAAATTGGTCCCGACCAGCGCGTCCGTCGTGATGGGGCCCTCCAACAAAAAGCCTTCTGCAGCTCCTCCGAGAGGGAGGGGGAGTGACGAGCCGGGTGGACCTCTGAAAAACCTCGTCCTCCGGGCTGCGATGCGAGACCGGCAGATAGCACAAGAGGCGCACAGGTTGAGGATGACGTCAGATGCCTTGCAGAGGGAGCTCTACGTCTCCTCCAGCCTCTTTGAAACGCTGTACGCCAGCAGCGTAACGTATTGTTTGCTGCGGCCGCCTGGAACGCACACTGGTGAGCTTGGTTGGAGAGCGACGTCACCGTCTGGTCAAGCTTACCCGGAGGCGCAGGACGCTGGTCCAACCTGGACATCTCTGCTCTGAAAGCCTCTGCCAGGCTCGGCTCCAGGGGGGCACTGAGGGAATTTCTGCTCGGTAAAACCCCTCCACTCTGGTGATGGGCGCGAATGTGGGAACCGGCGCTCTCAGTCTACCAGATCCGGCTGCAGCCTCGTTCCAGCAGGACGTCACTGCTGGGAAAACGAGGCAGAGATGGGATCAGGATGGCGAACTGGGGTGGAGCCAAGAAACCTTCCCGCTAGATCATCTGATCTGGGCGGGGGAAGGATAGGGATGGAAAAAAGTCCCTTCATGTCAGCCGCCTCCTGGATTATGCCAGGTAGCTCCAGAGGAGGGCACCGACGGCTGGGAGCGGTGTGGTCGCCGATGCGAAAAAGGGCCGGGGGGGGGGGGGGGGGGGGGGCGGAGCGAATGCGCGTTCTGACACTCCTCTCTCCAGGAGGAAGTGAGCAGCGGGGGCTGCTGCTGACTTCGCCTGTCCTGAAGGAACCATCCGATTCGCTCCGAGAGTCAGCGATAAAAGGAAAAATAAAAGATGGCGTCGTCCAGCGTGTAGCGACCCGCCACTGAGAAATATTCCTCGGTGCTTACCTTGAAGCAAGACTGCTCGTCTGCTTCTCCTTGGGGAGGAGAACTCACCAGGACGGCAGGAGGTTGGCGTGGCGGGGCCACAGGCAGCCTTAACAAAGGTTGTGCCGGTCAAGCTGGACAACTTCCGTTCTTCTGACAGTGCTATTAGCTTGCTGAAGAAAAATGGGAGCCAATTACCCGCTCTTAACGTAATTTATACGGACCGGGTGGGGCCCACACAACAGGTGGGCGTGGACTAAATTTTTCAGTGCGATGCTTTGCATGACGGGATAAAACCCACCAGCGACAGCCTTAAAGGGAGAAGCCTATACGAACTAGAACATCCCATCATTAAACATTTAAATTCCAATCCTTGTGGTATTGGTTCTTTCTTTGCAAAGAATTCTCCTACATTTTTTTTTTTAATTCAGCATGGTCTAAAGTTAGCAGTGAATTGCCCAGTATCTGTCACGTTTCTGCCCCTCCTGTCATGTTTTCTGTCCACCCTGCCATAGTTTATGTCCTCATGTTTTGTTTTTCTCCTGCTCAAGTTCAAGCTCTGCTCCTGTCACCCTGCGCCACGGCCACTCTGCTCCACCACAGTAATCATCCTTGATCTCATGCACCTGCTCTGCTCCCTACTTAAGCTTCATGCTCTCTCTCACTTGTTGCCACATTATCAAAATCCTTGTGATAGTAATGTCCAATAATCTCGTTTGCCTGCCTTATTTTGACAGATCACGTTTTGGATTTGTCTTTGGATTTCTGCTCTATGGTTCTTGACCCCTTGCTCTACTGGACTTCACCCCTGGACAATCCTTTAACCTACGCTCTACTCTCTCTCTCTGCTGCAGCCTGCTCACAGTATAAGACATCAGCCTCACCAGATCTCTTAAGGAGTCCCTCTCTTACTCAACTGTGAAGGTTAGCGACTGCTTCTATAAACCCTGAACCTTCACAGTAAAGCCAAGTTTACTAATCTTCCTATCTCTACAGATTGGACCCGCTCCCGGACCCAGGCCACCACTAAAAGCAATATTTCAATAAATCATTTTAAACAATTCCTGTTGTCCAGTGTTGTGCACGAATCCTAAAACCCAATCTTGTCAGTATCTGTATTTACAATGGTAAATGGTAAATGGACTGTACTTATATAGCGCCTTTCTATCTTATTTTAAGACACTCAAAGCGCTTTACACTACAATCTGTGCCTCATTTACCCATTCATACAGCACTCTACTAGATCTCTACAAAGCTAATTGAACAAATCATTCTAAAGAGACTAATCAGTGCTTTAGATCACATTCATACACTGATGGGACCCACATCAGAGGCTATGAGGGGTTCAGTGTCTTGCCCAGGGACACTTCGACATGTGACTGCTGGTGGATTCGACCCCCAACCCTCGCATTGGAGGACAACTGCTCTAACCACTCAGCCATAGCCGCCAATGACAAGTCTCCTGAATGATGATGATGCACCTTCTTGAGTGTTTGTGACTTAATAGGATGTTGTTAGGAAGTGTTTTCTTCAAATAAAACAATATGCTATTATCTCCTTGAGTTTTCTTTTGTGTTTTTAAGACTATGACTACAGCTTTGCTCACCAGCACATGGTTTCTTTTTAAGAATACAGAATACAACATTACTGCTTTAGACACATCTAACTTTTCTGGGATCTTCAAGTTCATGCTCAATAATCCAGGTAAAATAATCCAACAAAGTTCAGTCAGGTCATCTGGATGTTTTCTTTTAAATTTTTGCTGATGTTTCGGTTTCTTTTTTCTTTTTTGGTTTAATCCATCATTCAAAGACTTCATCAATATGCGGAGCCACAAACAAACTCAGCCCTAGAAGCAGCACAATCCCATAGTGGACCAACCAGTTTGCTGGTGATAAGATGTTTTCTGGGGCTCGCCCTCTCCCACGTTGACTCCACTGAGGCAGCCATAGCCAAAGTGGTTCAAACCACCAAAGTCCATGCTCAATAATTCAGGTAAAAAATTCAACAAAGTTCAGTCAGGTCATGGATGAAGGATGAAACATCTTGACAAAAAAAAAGAAAGAAAGAAAGAAAAAAAAAACCTCCAGATGACCTGACTGAACTTTGTTGGATTTTTGGGATCTTGTTTTTTTTTTTTTTTCCATTAAACTGACAGCTTCCTCCACCTACACAGACTGCTATTGGAGACTGCTGCTGATCCGTTTCATGTTGCTGTGTTCGCGCATGCTCGTCTGCTCGCGCAGACTCAAGTTTGTGTTGCTGTTCAACGTGGTGTTTTTGTGCTATTGGTGCTTAGCATATTTTTAGCTGATGTTTTTCTTGGTTCATACCTTGGATCTTGTTACTGTTTTTCTTTTACATTTTATTGTTGAATGTAACTAGAACCCTGCGTACATAATTTTGTTTCACCACATGTACCACATGAGATGCAAATGACAAAAAAATCTCTGACTCTGAGTTGCATGTTAAAAATTCACAACAAAAGTAACTCAATATAAATGTAGCATTTCTTACATGTTCAATTTGTCATAAGATTAAAACGAAAACATGCCACACGTGTACATACAACAGCTTGGCAGTTTATTTTATTTTAATGAAAATGAAAATACTTTGCAAAAGGCTAACTGTAATCTCAAAATGGTCATACAGTATTTTAATGGAATGCCCTCAGAATGAATTCCTAGGTTTAAACTTCTGGTAGAGTGAGGAGGCAAAGCTAGTCTCAGCGCCAAAATACTGTTTTTCTTTTTGAATTGTTTATGATCCATGGTAATCACATTTAACTGAGCTTTACAAAAGAAGGACAAAAGTAATAAATGTGAGGCAAAGATGTGTCTTACCGTAGAATTTCATTGACTGTAGCCTCTTTTTCTAGGAGGTTGCGCGCTCGATTGCTAAATATTGACCTGCGAAGCTGAACAGACAAACTTTAAGATTCATTATCTCCTGGATTCTAAAAACGAGTTCTATTGAAAACCACACTGTAGACACAAACGTAGACATAATGCAATTTGTTTACTATAAATCACTGTAGTTTATTCTCTCCTTTTTCAGCCACAGATTGAACTTTTATCTCTATATTTTCAGGGTAGGCTTGTAAGAGAGAAAAAAGGAAAAGAACGTAATGAGTAAATAAGTAAGAAAAGGCATCTGTAAATTTACCTTTTGGTCGATATACTTGTTGTCTTCAATAGCTGAGCATTTGGAGTGATCACAAGAGGAGGACGAAGCAGAGGGGAGACGTCGGAAGAAACAGCTGGTACTCTGCTGTTGACGGTCAATAAACTGCTTCATAAAACTTTCCCTGAAATTTGCAACAAACACACAAAAATTATAAATTTTTTTAGGAGCGAAATGAGGAGCGAAATGTTTCGGATGAGGAGCGAAACGTCTTCTGTTACAAATAAAGTCCAGTTGTTTTTGTATTGAACGCTTTTTGAATTCATCATGTCCTGGATGACTGAGAATCTTCACCAGCGTATAAATTTTTATGTTTTTAGGAAGAAAAATATATGATAAGAAAGAGAAACAGTCACAAATTAATTGCCACAATAAATTGCATCAGCTGCAAAATCTGTGGAAAATGTTGCTGCAGAAGCAGAGCAGAGAGGGATAGATAAGGAAAATGAAACATTAAATGTTTTCCTTATGGCTTTTCTATATATAATTAAAATGAAGGGAATGCAGTTGTAATCCTCAAAGACTTTCCATTTTTAATGTTTGTTTTTATAGTGACTCAGCAACAAACCACCTGGAAGTTTTTATCCTGAAAAAAAAAACAACCTTTTCCTTCATGTTTTATTTGTGGTTGGTGGAGTTTAAGCTTTTTTAATACCCATAAAAGATATTCATAATTCAAAAAGCTTCACTTAATGTGTGCCAAAGTTATTTAAGAAAGCTGAAAACTACTGTACTTATAAAAAAAAAAAATAAAAAAAAAGTCTACATGAATCTATATTAGAACTCAGTGGTGGCTGGTGCAGTTTTCTCTCGGGGGGGGGGGGGGGGAGTATAAGTGTGTGGAGTGGAACTGTCCATTGTTTCATCAGCCTGGATGGAGACAAAGTCTGCACTCCTCGTTTCTTCAATGATGCACTCTATCAAAACTGACAGTATACAATCAAGGAGTTCATTCTGCACAGTTTTAGATGTTCCCTTAAACAGAGTGGCAGATTCCAAGTGCTCATGTAGAACTGCATCCAGTGATGCTACAAAATCCACCAATCCTCTAAAAATACCCAGGATTTTCTGAGCTTTCACTTTCATTGTGGCCACGTAGGGCAAGTTCAAATGCACCACAGAACTTGACACAGTCTATTATTTTTGATATAATGTGCCTGTTTTTGTCAACCTCCTCATTGTGCTTACAGATCCCTGTAGCCTTCATCAAGCTGAGATGAAATGTTTATTTTCCCAAACATGGCTAGTCACAATGCATTTTCCATGTGGATCCCAGATTGTTCATGCTTCTTTGCCTTTTCTAAAAAATGATTGAAATCAGTCATATCTGTCTTAATCCATGCTGGGTCAAATCCTGATGTTTGAAAAAGGAGGCAGGGAAAGCAGAATAAAGCATTAGCCTTGCTACATGCCGTTAGTTAGCCAAGCCTTGTTGCTAAACCATGTCCTGGAAAAATACTGTGTACTGTCTCCCTCTGTCTTTGGACTGTTAATTAATTGTGATGTTCGGCCCACTGCAGGAGGGTGGTAATATGAAAATCAAGCTGCATTCAGCTCTGGGAGCAGGAGAGGTGTGCCTCAAAATGGTCCTATCTCTTGTACTGAAGAGGAGCTACTGCACATGTACAACTTTTAACAAGAGTCTATGGGCAAAGATTTTTAGACCCCAGGGCAGAAATACATCACCAATCAGACGTCGATCAATGAAACAACTTTACTCATCATTAACTATGAAATATTTATCTTACACAACTAAAAAATATATACATATATTTTGAAATATTTTTATTTTATTTTTTTTATTTTTATTTTTTTATTTATGTCTTATTCAAGGTAATGTGGTGAGGTGGCACCCTTGTGCCCTCTATTGGCCAGCTGCCACTGTAGGAGCTGTATTGTATACAGTAGTCCCTCATTTGTCACAGGTGTTTCCATA